CTAAAAGTGACCACCAGGAAGGGATAGGCTTTGTGAATGAGTAGTTACTCGATACCTTGTGAACACCAGTGACATTGTCAGGCATACTGAAAGCCAGAACATGGCCGGACACTGAGTGTGGCATGGAACCAGGTAACATGCTGTTCTGAGTCAGAACTTAGAGGCACCTGGCAATAGCATGAGTCTGAACTGACTACATGGCAGGGGTTGGACCCCCATGGCTTGGCCTTTCTGGGTCCTTTGATCATTCTAGTTTGCACTTGCTTTACTTCTTTCTCCCCCTGGTTGGTTAAGTGCCCTTTGTGACCCATGGCGCCATGTCGAGAGAGTAGATGTGTGATTTGTGGTGATGGCAGTACCGAACATGAACAAAGCCAGCACAACTTGCCCCCAGTGCATAAAGACACTAAGAAGTACTCAAAAAAGAAGGCAATTTTGGTAAATGTTATGCATCACTCAAATTTGCAATAACAATTACAACCAATACTATGTGTGGGTACGGACTGTTGACTAGAAAGCGAATCTACACAATTCACAAAGTTTATTTTAAATGTGTGTGTGGCGACATGCATATAGATGCATAGGAAGCCATATATGAGTAAATGCGTGTGCATGTGTGGTTGTTACATAATCTGGTGTCAACTTGAGACTATTGAGAGTTAAGGGGTGGGGTTTAGCCTGTCAATCAGGTCTCAGTTTGATTATCTCATTTGGAGGTGCTGTGAAGATAGATAGCTCACTGGAGGCCAGACCCACACTCTGTTGCACATTCCTGTTGACAAGACACATGGAGCTATGGTGATGGAGCCAGAACCCTGGAGCTGGAGGAGCCACGTGGAGTTCCACACCAGCACTGAGATGCTTCCACCACCACTGGATCCACAAGACTTAACACCCACTGGCTTGTGATCTTCCTGCATTCAACATCATTGCATGGCTTTTGAGTCTGAAGAAGAATTTATAGACTATATCAGACATATGGGTTAATAATGGATTTATGGATTTGGGCTGGGCTGGGTTTTTTTCCTAATATACAATTACTCTTTATGTAAAGCCCTTCCTTTACACATAAGTGTCTATGAATTTGTTTCTCTACGGACTAATGCAGCATGTATGGGTATCTCTGTTGGCATGTGTATGAACACTTGAGTGTGCTGCATATGCATTCATATGTATACCCAAGTGCATAGGAGGCACAGTTCTGAAATCTGCTGAGGTACACCCAAATAACCCATGGGTCAGTTTACTAGGTTAAATAACTTAGACTATCGTCTTGGGGACAACTTCGTCAGTTGATGTAGCATAGCTCATACACATAATCTGCATCTGGATTTGGTGAGTACAGTCTTGCAAGCAGCCAACTAAGACAGCAACTATCAGTCTCATTGTAGCGAAAGAGAATGACGACAAGGCTCGAAAAAGGAACTATGCCACAGGACCAACAGCACCACAAACCACACTGTCTTTTTCCCTGAGATCAGAGTTGGATAATGCCCAGTTGCCACTGGTGCATGTTCTGACCTGGGATGCAATACAAGGTTGTGAACAGACTGGGGGAAGTTATAGACAAAATTTGCATACCTGAAAAAAGACCTGGGTGGATAGGGACATCGAGGAACCCCAAAACCTTTAAAGTGGGCAGCGATTCCACAGCTCAAGGTCACCATTCCCCTAAGAAATAGATCGGATTATAAAATGATATCACACATGAATAACGTGTTCCTTGAAACTATGAGACCAAAAGGTTAATGTTTACCCAAGTGAGCTCCATTGTTTGAGCCCCTGTGTCAATCTATCTCCTTGAGGGTCATCCTCTTTGTTGTTGTTGTTGCCCCTCGACTTTACCAAGCAAGATGTCCTTTTCCAGGGACTGGCCTCTCAATGACATGTCCCAAGCGCCTGAGATGAAGTCTTGTCATCCTTGCTCTTAAGGAGAATTTTGGTTGTATTTCTTCCAAGACAGACTTGGTTCTTTTGGCAGCCAGTGGTACTTTCAGTATTCCCCAGCAGTGGAATTCAAGCACATCAATTCCTTGGTCTTCTTTAACGAGTGTCCCATTTTCACAAGCTTATGAGGCACCTGAAAGGACCATGGTTTCAGCCAGGCCCACCTTAGTCCTCAGAGTCACATTCTTGCTTTTCAACACTTTAAAGAGATCTTGTGCAGCAGATTTAACCTTAGGTTAGTGGAACACCAAACTTTGTGCGCCACCCCCCTTCCCCCAGACTTCAGGGGAACACCAGCTGTCTCCCTTGTTGGCTTGTCAAGTGGTCTCTGCTGGTCACCCCTGCTCTTGGCTAATAGCACTGCTGTCAGTGGTTTTCCCACAGGGCACCTTAGTTTGACCACGGAACAACCACACAGTTCTCCAGATCAGACTCCTGCTTGACTCTTGTGCCCAGCCCCCACCCACAGGGCCCACTCCCCTTGGTGTCCACGTAATCTCACCACGAAGAGTCATAACTGGGTGGTGCTTCCCTGACTCTCCAGGGCCTCCCCCTGCTTAGCAAGCCTCCTGCTCACACTGGATTCCCTTGGGAGGGTGTGCAGGTGGGGGTGGGGGATGGGCGCCACTCCGATTATACATCTGAGGCTGAGATTGGAAGAAGGGAGCTCCACAAATGCTCCTGGTGTTCTCTGTGCACTGGAACCTGGTCCTGCCCACGTAGCAAACCTGAGCCTGCTCCAGGCTGGGGCACACAATCAGGTCACGAGACCAAGAAGTTAGTTCCCCTCAATGGAGGGCAAGCCCACACCCAGCTGTCCTGTAACAGGCATGGGGCGCCTGCCCTGCCCTCACTCTCCCTGCTAAGACTGCAAGGAGCCCTGCTGGCATTGCAGCTTAGGCATCGGGACATCAGCCACTGGCAAAAGAAGCAGACCTGCTCCGGTAAGGCTTACAGAGCCCTACGGGGCAGCTCTGCTGTCCCACGGGCCTCTGCATCAGAACGGACTTGAGGGCATGGGTTTGGTTGAGACGACTGGCCGGGGCACCCTCAATGGCCTGCTCCTTCACCTGGCACCAGCTTTCTCTTCTTATAAGCTTTGCGCTATAATCAGAACCCTTGTCCACAGAGCAAATATGCTTAATCCTAGCAGCAGCCAGGTAATTCTTTCCAACCCCACACCCCGGACCCGTCATCGCTTCATGAGGCGGCAGAACCTCCATAACTCCCTTGTTGAGACTCAAACTTTATTAACCTCACTTGCCTAGTGCATAGTAAGTATTGAGCTGCTCTCCACAAGGTTGGTGGTTCAAACCCATGGGCTGCTAGAAGGGAGAATGAGACTGTTTGTAAAGATTGAGTCTCAGGAACCATCAGAAGAGTCACTTTGGATCGGAATTACTCGATGGCTGAGGGTCTGGGTTTCCTACTAGGTGAGCAAACGTGAAATGCACATGAGATACAGGTATTATCGAAGAGCAATGTTTTACACTCCTTAGACAGGTAGACTAAACGTACAACACCCAGGGTGGACTAGTGTGAAGGTTAATGCACCAGGCCTGACTTGTTGAAGTGAATATTCCTAGAAAGACATTTTCAGACCTGGTCTTTGGCCGGCCAGGTGGAGCCCTTAGACGGCTCTTCCAGCTGAGAGCACTTTCGTATGCTTGGCACGTGGGGTCGTTTGCAAGCCGAACCAGAGCTGTTCCTGCAGTTGGAAGCCACCAGCCGCTCCGCAGGAGGAAGGCAGGACTTTCTGCTCCTGCGAACAGGCCGTCTCAGAAACCCTCGGAGCCGCGGTTGTCGCCGAGTCAGCATCAACTGGACAGCAGTGAGCTGTTTGGTGCTTTATGTGGACTGTTCACCTGTGCTCAGCGGGGAGGGCCCGTGGGGAGGCTGAGGGGTGTGTGGAGCCCAAGGCCCGCGGCCAGTCACCCCAACCTGCAGACCACATGACTGAAACCCCCATGAACACCGCCGTGCACGAGTGGTCTCACATCATGCCTGCTGTTGATCTGACTTCCAGGGAGGGGACACGTGGAGCACGTGCCTGGTTTCCTGGGGCGTCAGCCCACCTGCCTTCCCCTGAGCTGCCCGTAAGCCGGGTGCCTCGCTGTAACGAGTGCGGCTGCAAGGGCAGCAGCTCCTTCTCGGTGTCCTTCCAGTGAATCGGGGCCCCGACCCAACCAGCTGTACTCAGTCACGGGCAACTGAGTGCAAGCAGTGAGCAGAGCCCACGGAGAACCCAAACGGAAACAGTAGCGCCGCATGTGAGGAAACTGGTCCCAGGTGCACGGCTTCCTCTCGCTTCTCCCAGACATCCCTGAGCCGCGCTGTCCATTCTCGCAGAAGGCGAGGAATTGAACAGCACGCTGGAGGTCGAGCCAGGATCCACCCCAGAGCCACCAGTCCAGTGCCTGCCTCAGTGGGGCCACGTGCTGCATCGGCCAACTTTCAGGACACAGGTGAGGGACAAGCCAGAAGGGACGCACAGGTTACACCTTGTGGCAAAAGGCAGGTGAGCCAGGAACGGGCCATGTGAAACCAAACGGGGGTCCAGGAAGTATCAGGGTCATCTGAGGTGCCAACAAGGCAGAAAGCTAAAACTAGGAGGGCGGGTAAAGAAGGTGCATCCAATGTCCCTTCTGCCTTCTTGAGCCAGTCAGGTCACCTCCCGTTCCAGACAGCAGGAGAGGGAGACGGTCTCTGTAGTTTCAAGCTTCAAACAGCGGCAGCTCGGGGCGCAGGCCCGGCCCGGCTTGGGGGCAGGAATGGAACACGGCGTGGATGGATCGTCGGTGCTCCATCTCAGCCCCACGGAGGGACGCAGGGAGCCAGTGAGACAACACACCCAGGAACGTACCAAATAATCCACATTTATTGGGACCTAAAAAGAAACTTTACACCTTACTACGGCACCACAGATTTTGCTAAAGTTTAGGACAAAAGCGAGTGTGGGGGAACTTGTAGTTGAGCACTAAAGTAAAAAAACAAAGCTTTTTTTTTTTAAAAAAACCACTTCCACCCCTTATCTCCCCCTGCCCCCCTCCCACTCCCTTCCCTCTTCAGGTTCAGCGTCGTCAACTAAGCATCCTTCTCGTCCTCATCCTCTTTGGCGGTGTGGCATTCTCCTGTTCGGGAAGAAAAAGATTTTTAACTGATCATTCAAAACAGAGTGATTTTATAATCAACTTTACCTAGAAAAATGACCACAGAACCCTCCAATTCCTGTTAGGGATCACGCAGCCCTCTAGAAAACGGATTCTGATGTTACAAATACATTTTAGAATACGGCCCCTTAGAATATCCCCAATTGTTTTTAGTCTTTAAGCAGCTTGTCTTTTCGGAGAAAAGCTGGCCATCTATTTCAGAAGCTGGCAGCACCCAGGAAGAGAGCGTCTTTGCACCTATGCCCACTAGCGGAATCCACATGCGGACAATCGCCAGGATCCCTACCCTTGGGCCTTCAACCCAAGCACCCCACTGAGCAGACACCCTCAGTCAGGTGAGCGGCCAAGGAGCTGTGCCCTGATGTCAGTGTCCATGGTCGAGTCCCTAGGAGAGGCTGCAGGTATTCCCATTAATTTTACATGATACCTTTCACGTAGCCAAAACAATTATTTTTGGCATAACATACCAAGGGATTCCTTACAGGCGCACCCAGCTGGAAACTCGGGTAGCCACGTTTAAACGCAAAAGAAAGTGGCTTTTATTTCCCAGAACAGGTGCCCACGGCAGGAGGGTGGCATGCCATCCACCGGCCAGGCAGGACAAGTGACCGGAGACTGGCGTCCTTGGTGCAGCAGTCAGACCAACACCTCAGTGACCACTGAGGTGGAGAGGAGGTTCCTCAGAATCCATCGGACTGCGAGCACCCCACCCCCCCTTCTTAAAACAGTGCAGAACAAAAGTTCCTTCCTCATCAGGACTGGCTGTCAGGGAAAGGCCGCGTTACCCCCCCACTCCCCGTCATCTGGTGGCTGTCTGCTCCCGTGAAGAGCTCCTGCCCTGGGAAGCTCCTCTCAGCGAGGGGTGAGACTTGGGCAGAAGACCGTGGGGTGTGGAGAAGGCCCAGGAGAGCACTGCGGCAGCTGCATGGTCCAGAGAGGAGGATGGCGCTGCCACCCCATCTAGTGCTTCTAGCAAGCACCTGGTGCCATCTGCTGGGGAAGGGTCAGCTCCTCTGAGCCGCCCTGTGTCCCTCGGGCCCACTGCTGACCAGTCTATGTCAAATTCCGAGCATGTTAAAACACAGCCATGAAGACAGGGCTGGTGTTTGTCCCCGCTGGTTAGCTGGGAGCGGGCGGCAGGTGACACCGAACAGGCCACTTACCTGCTCTGGGCTCGGGGTTGCTGCTTCTGCGGGGACCCTCCTCTTGGAACTCCGAGCTGCTGCTCTTTGGCGCGAGCTGACACCGCTCTGGGTCTGGCTGGGCTTGGTGGCCGGTCTCTCTTCACCGTCAGGTTCAGCCTCTGGTCCTGGCGGATTCCTGGGTTTCAGCCTGGAGGAGCGAGGGGCTGGTCTGGTGACTTCATCATCCGTGGACTTCTTGGCCCTCTTCTCTGGGGGGGCACTCTCTGGGCTGGGCGTGGGCGTGGGCACGGACTCGTGGGTCGTGGCAGTGGTGAGGGGCGCCTTCACTCGCCTTCTGGGAGCAGCTCCAGCAGCAGCTCCCTTCTGTGTGCGGCCGGCTTTGGCGGGCACCCCCGTGGCTTCCCCTGGGTGTTCGGTGGAAGGAGCTCCCCCAGTGCTTCCGGCTGGCTCTGTGTGGAGTTTGAGCCGAGCTCTGGATCCTCCGTGTTGCATGTCCCCGGGAGCTGAGTGGTCTGGCAGCTTTGTGTCGCCGTAATCCTTGTCCCCCGAGGCCTCTTCCCGTATCGTTGGCAGAGGAGGGTTGGGGGGCGCTGCCCTCCCGGGACGCTGTCTTGTCCTTGCGCCGCTCTCCTTGACCGTTTCCCGGGGTATCTTCCCGGCGTTGGCCATCTCAGGTGGACCGAGTGGGCTGGGCACGTGCCTGGACCGCAGCCCTCGCCTGGTGGCCCTCTCCGCGAGGACCGTGTCCACCGGCTGGGTCCCAGGCTCCTTCTCTTTGCTTACAGCTGCGCGGGCTGCCCTGCGGGCTGGCGGTGCCGGCTCTGGGACCTCAGCGGGGAACACCTCATCAGAGCCCTGGTGGGTGGAGAGGGCGCCGGCTCTCCTCGGCGCTCGTACAGCGGTCTTCCCGCCTCCTGTCGCTGCCATCTTGCCTCGCAGACGCCTCCTGGGTTTCTCGTCCACCTGCTCCTCCGTGGGTAGAGCTTCTGCTGAGTTAGTCACAGTCCGCCGGCTCCTTCCCCTGGGCCTGCCAGCCACAGCCTCCTCCTTTGAAGCTCCATCTTCCACGCTCTTCTTCCTGCCCTGACTGGCTGGCCCCGTTTCTGTGGGTGGCAGCTGGGGAGGCTCCTGCATGTCCAGGTTGGCCCGGCATCCACGCCGGGAACGCACGGATATCGTCTCCTGAGGTGGGTTTGCTGGGGCGCTGGGCTCTGCCTTCTTTACGTCAGTCTCTGCTTCCATGTTCTCTGACTGCTGAGGGGGATGCTCAGATTCCTGCGGCTCTCCGCCCCTCTTGTTCCTGCGGGGGCACCTTGTCCCCTGACGTGGCTTTGTTGGGGTGCTAGGCTCCACTGTCTTTGCTTCCATGTTCTCTGCCAGATGAGGGGGGTGCTCAGATTCCTGGGGCTCTCTGCCCGTCCTGTTCCTGCGGGGACACCTTGTCCCCTGACGTGGCTTTGCTGGGGCGCTGGGCTCTGCCATCTTTACTTCAGTCTCTGCTTCCACGTTCCCTGACTGCTGAGGGGGGTGCTCAGATTCCTGGGGCTCTCCGCCCCTCTTGTTTCTGCGGGGGCACCTTGTCCCCTGACGTGGCTTTGCTGGG